CATCAGCATCAGCATCATCATCATGGCATCATCATCATCATCATCATCATCAGCATCATCATCATCATCAGCATCATCATCATCAGCATCATCATCATCAACAGCAGCATCATCATCATCAGCAGCATCATCATAATTATCAGCATCATCAGCATCATCATCATCACAATCATCAGAATCATCATCATCATCAGCATCATCATCATCATCATCAGCATCATCATCAGCATCATCATCATCATCAGCAGCATCATCAGCATCAGCATCATCATCATCATAAGCAGTAGCATCATCAGCAGCATCAGCATCATCATCAGCATCATCATCATCAGCATCATCATCAGCATCATCATCAGCATCAGCATCATCAGCAGCATCATCAGCATCATCATCAGCATCATCATCAGCATCATCAGCAGCATCATCAGCATCATCATCATCATCATCATCAGCATCATCATCATCAGCATCATCATCAGCATCATCAGCATCATCAGCAGCATCATCATCATCAGCATTATCATCAGCAGCATCATCATCACCGTCACCATCATAAGCAGCAGCATCATCATCATCAGCATCATCATCAGCATCATCATCATCTGCATCATCATCAGCATCATCATCATCAGCATAATATCATCATCATCATCATCATCATCACCATCATCATGATCATCGTCGTCATCATCATCATCATCTGCATCATCAGCAGCAGCATCATCATTATCAACATGCATTATCAGCATCATCATGGTCACTTGGTAATCGTCTGAACACTATGTCTCATCCGCATATTCGATTGGACGCCTGAATAATCTCGGATAACTGCTGTCCGGGGTAACTCTGGTTTGGGCCCCCGAGGAGCGAATCTGCAATTGCCCCATGAATGCCCCCAGCCCTGATTCGGGAGGGTTGGACGCCCGAGTTATCCTGGACAGCTGCGGTCTGGGGTAACTCCGGTTTGGGCCCGAGGCGCGCATATGTAGCTATCCCTGACCCAGCCCTGATCACTCGGGGCTCTGATTCGACGTCGTCAAACATCATCCCAGTCGGCGTCGTCATGATCGTCATGGCCATCGCCATCACCGAATCGCCATCGCCGTCGTCTTAGGCAGGCGCGGAGGGGCCAGAGAGGAGGAGGAGAGACGACGATAAGGAGGATGGTGGAAAGGGAAAAAGAGAAGGAAGAGGAGGGTAGAATAAGATAGGATAGGATGGGATTCGGCAGTGCGCGTGCGAAGAGGGGTACGTGCAGTTCTACACACAGTAGTACAAGTGTGCAGCTACTACTTCAAACGATCGCATATCTAATACACGAGGTCATGGGCAACGTGCGCCGTGCAGCACTCGACACTGTAACGACAAGGCTGCGCGCTGTGCTATGCGTCACGCGCGGACTAGGGGGGACACCGCCCCTGGCCCCAGGGGGGAGCTGAACTGAACTGAACCAGCCTCGGATTCCAGCTGAGCCAACTGCACGAACCCATCGCTTCGTTGCGGCGTCGGCTTCGGGATCTGGCTGAGGCTACTCTGCGATCTGCCAATTCGCCTCGACGGCCTGCGGTCGCCAGGAGGAGCCAGAGGAGGAGCAGGACGAGGAGGAGCCACTTGTCGGGGACTTTCTGACCCGGGTCAATCCAGACACGGGTCAGTCAGGCCGCCTTGCAGAACCCGGCAAATTCCTGTAAGATCCTGCACCCAAACCCGGGTCAACGCGAAGTATCTTGGAAGATCCTGCAGGATCCTGCACCCAAACCCGGGTCAGTGCGTCCCTGGCCCTGCAGGATCCTGCGAGATCGGGCGCTCTGGCTGACCCCCGTTTGCATTGACCCCCGTCCCTCAAGTCTCCCGAACTCGCCCCAACCCCGCGGGCGCCAGCCCTCGCCTGGTGGGTGAGCCTCACGTGCCGCAGCCTGGCGACCTCCGGGGGCGGGCAGCGGCGGCGTGCGCACGACGGCGGCAGCGCTGTGCTGCCGCCGACGACTGCGAGGGGCACTCTGACGCTCGTCGCCGTCCGAAGACGCCGCCGCCGACGAGGGCGAGGACGGGGGCGGGGTCCGCGAGGAGGGCACTGAGCTGCCGCAGACGAGGACGAGGACGAGGAGACTCGACAGGCGCGGTGCCTTCACGGGCAGGCGGAAACAACATGGGCGGGCGTTTGCACTTCAAGGGGGATGTCGCCGGCTAGAGGTTGGACCGCAGCGTCGACAGTCCCACTGGCCTGGGGGCCGCACCATCTTCCAGAGTCACGTGTCCCCAGTTCCACAGGACGCGCCCGCGTCTTCCACGAGGACCCCAACATCGGAACAGCCACAAGCCGCCTGCGTTTCCCTCCCCGTGGCGCTCTTCGTGCCCAGGGTGGCCCAGAGCATGGGGACATCTCTGGGAATACCAGCTACCATGCGGCACCCACGTCCATCAAGAATGGCCCGGAGGCTTTAAATACTGCCCGATGGCTGCGAGAGGCCTCTCAACATGGCCGCGGACAGCGGACCCG